AGTTGGCTGATCAGTTTCTCGTGGTTCAGGACCGCATTTCGAGGATGGTGATTGGATGTGGTAAAAGAGTTGGTGGTACCTTTCACTTTCGCAGTACGGAGATCGCATCATCAGTCACAACGAAGGATACCAAGTCAAATGAGATGTGGCAGAATAGGATGGGTCATCCATCGGCGCAATTGGTGGGAAAGCTTCCGTTTGTTTCTAGTTCTGTTTCTCCTTCTAGTTTAAATAAACTTTGTGACATTTGTCTTCGTGCAAAACAGACAAGGGATAGTTTTCCTTTGAGTATGAATAAAAGTTCAAAAAATTTCGAGTTAATACATGTCGATTTATTGGGTCCTTACAGAACTCCATCACACTCAGGAGCAAATATATACTAATGTAGAATCTTAGGTACGAGAGAAACTTAAAATAGAATAAGAAAAACCAAAGAATGTCGAATCTTAGTCAGAAAACGAAGTATTCTCCGTATCGGAAGAATCTATTGGAAGATTGATCCAGAAGCATTTTCACTCTCTCTAATGGATAAATTGGGATCTCATAATCCTAATTGCATTATAAATTAATTAAAAATTAAATAATTAATATTACACAAACATAAATTAATTTTTTCGTTATTTTTTATGGCAGTGCAAATAGAAAAACTAGTTTGAAGGTTTAAACTGTTAGTAAAATTATCTTGATGGTTTATAGTGTTAGTGGAATTTTTAGGAGGATTAAAGTGCTATCCGGTGACACTTTGAAGGTTAAAAATGTGATTTTCCCTTTTTTTTTTTAACTATTATAGACGACTTTTCTAGAGGTGTGTGGCTGTATTTGTTAACTACAAAAAGTGAAGTACCAGAACAGTTGAAGAAGTTTTTTGCTCTAAGCCTCTAACAGAGTGACAATTAGCCACAAAAATCAAAAGAATCCGGAGTGACAACGGCTCTGAGTTTCTATGCTTGACAGAATATTTTCTCACCGATGGCATCATCCAGAACATTTTGTGTTGCTACTCCTCAAAAATATTGCAAGAGCTGAACGGAAACATCGACATATCTTGAATATCGCCAGAGCGTTGAGGTTTCAAGCATCTTTACCCATAGAATTTTGGGGTAAATGTGTACTCACCGCTGCGTATTTAATAAACCGGACTCTCAGCTCTGTTCTCAACTTTACAACACCATTCGAGCGCTTATTCAATAAACCTCCGACGTATGAACATCTCAGGGTTTTCGGGTCACTGTGCTATGCTCACGATCAGAATAAAAGTGGAAAGAAATTTGCTTCGAGAAGTAAACGCTGTGTTTTTGTGCCGAACCTCGTTAATTCTCGTGTGCCTTATCTATCTCTGCTTTTTCAATGGGATATCCGTATGGGAAGAAAGGTTGGAGGCTGTATGATTTAGAAAAATTGGAGTTCTTTGTTTCCAGAGATGTTGTTTTCTCTGAAGCTCAATTCTCATTTGCTCCGATTAATCACTTGCAACATAAGGTTGCAGCCTCAGAATTTATGGGCTCCAATTTCTGAACATTTGACTTTTGAGGAGAGTGGGCTCACTAAGCCCAATTCTACACGGCCCGTTAACTTAGAGCATGGGTCTTCAAGTCAGACGATGACGACTCCCGTTTTCTCTGCCATTGATACTCGTACCTCTGACGATTCAGACGCCGGCTCCAGATGCACGATCTGAAAATGAACGCCCTGTGCCCTCTCTGGTGCTTACGCCTGCTCCAGTCGCAACCAATAATCGTTTGGTCCCAGCTGCCATGGTTGTACCTCCGGCTGCGACAGATAAGCAATAGGGTAAAGGAAAACGCCAAAAGACAGCTTCGGTCCTATTGAAAGACTTTGTGGTCACTCAAGCTGCCAAACCAAAACAGCAAGAAGAAATCAACATGGTTCGTGATGAAGCTTATACCCGATCTTTGGTAATGACGATGTCCATCTATGTTGATGTGGTGCTTTCGAATTTGGAACCTAAATCATTCAAACATATCGCCTATGTTGATGTTCATATCGCCTATGTTGATGTTCATTGCTATGCAAGAAGAGAAGTGGCGTAGTGCTATGGGCTCAGAGTATGGAGCATTAGAAGAAAATCAGACATGGACCATTGAAGATTTACCACCTGGGAAAAAGGAAATTGGATGCCAATGGATTTTCAAGGTGAAATTTAAATCAAACGGTACAGTTGAGAAGTATAAAGTCAGATTAGTTGCAATGGGAAACAAGCAGATTGAATGAGAAGACTATGGTGAAACGTTTTCTCCTGTTGCGAAGATGGAAAGAGTGAGATTGTTTTTTGACATTGCAGCTAAAAGAGGATGGATTGTGCATCAGATGGATGTACACAACGCTTTTTTACATGGGCTGAAGAAGTATACATGAAGTTGCCTCCCAGCTTTGAGTATGCTGATAAGAGTAAAGTCTGCAGGCTACGAAAATCTCTGTATGGACCGCTCTGCTTGAGTATGGATTTCAGCAATCCCTAAGTGACTACTCGTTGTTCACGTATGAAAAAAGTACTACTCGGCTTCATATTCTATTATTCTAGTGTATGTTGACGATTTAATCATAGCTTGTAGCAGTGTTCAAGCTACAAAATCGTTTAAGGACTACCTCTGTTCCTGCTTTCATATGAAAGATCTAGGAGAGCTGGAGTATTTTTTAGGAATTGAGATTGCGAGAAATGCCTGAGCCATTTATCTTTGTCAAAGAAAGTATACTCTTGACATAATCAATGAAACATGACGTCTAGGTGCTAAGCCAGCTCAGTTTCCTTTGGAACAAAATCACAAGCTACCATTGTCTGAATATGATATGCTGCATGATGCAACACCGTATCGACGGTTGTTAGGACGCCTCATTTACTTGGGAGTAACGCGTCCAGATCTTGCGTTCTCTGTTCACGTACTAGCACAGTTTATGCAGAAACCACGATTAGACCATTGGCTAGCTGCCTTGAGGGTGGTCCGGTATTTAAAGTCTGATCTTGGCCAAGGCATTATGTTGAGGTCAGACGCAAAATTTCAAGTCACATGTTGGTGTCACGCAGACTGGGACAGCTGCCCTTTTACGCGACGTTCCGTCTCGGGTTATTTTGTGCAGCTCGGTGAGTCACCGATCTCTTGGAAAACTAAAAAGCAGAAAACAGTAAATCGTTCATCAGCCGAAGCTGACTATCGTGTGATTGCCAATCTGGTCCAAGAGCTTATTTGGATAAAAATCATGCTCAAGGCTTTTTGGTGTTGTTCATAATCAACCTATGGTGGTGCAATGCGACAGTAAGTCTGCTATATACATCGCCACTAATCCAGTCTTCGATGAACGAACGAAACATATCGAAATCGATTTACACTTCGTCCGGGATGAGGTATTGGCACGAAACATACACTTGCATCACGTTGAGTCTCGTTCGCAGCTAGCGGATATTCTGACAAAGGCTATTGGAAAGGATGGTTTCCGGTATTTCAAGTCCAAGTTAGGAATACGAAATCTGTATTCTCCCGCTTGAGGGAGGGGTATTAAAGGTTGGTTAGGCCCGGTTCTGTTTGGTCATCACTTTGTTATCAAGACTACGAATATACTCTAACAGATACCAATATTTGTATAGCTAGAGATAGATTTAGATCCTCAGCTACATAGATTTTCCCTTGATTTTACGGTTGTATGGTCTCTCTATTTAAGTTGTACAAAGTTCATCGTGATCAATAACACAAATACAACATCGAACTCTGAAATCCTTTAATTTATTTACATAATTTCTTTCCCATTTAAAGGATTCTTACAAAAACTAACATCGACAATCCCATAGGACAAATTTTTGTCAGTACCGTACAATTAAGATTTCATTTCGGGAGACCAATCACAAGCCACAAACCTTTGTCGGCTAGTCATACGCCAAACTCGAAAATTTCTGTGCACTGTGCAGTGCAGCCTCCCCTTGAAATGAGCATTCGAGGGCTATTTAAATTTATTCTTTTAAACGTTGTATTGAAACGTGTAGGTTTGGGATATTTTTGTCGACTCCATTTTATTGTGGAGAATACGATGCAATAAACTGCTTTTTAATACCACTTTCTCCAAGAAACTTTGTGAATTCTTCAGATAAAATATTGAGATCCTCGGTGTATTCTGATCTTCTTGATCTTATATATATATATATTTTTTCAACAAGGTTCTTGAATCTTTTAAAGGCTGGAAAGACATCTGACTTTGGTTTTAAGAAATTAACTCTAACAATTCTTGTAGCACAATAATGGAGGAGTTTCCACATACATCATTGTTAGTCAACACTAGCTTCTCTTTTGCTTTTGTCTCTCATTCTTTTTGGAATGAGTCAAGGATGTGCTTGCATAGAATGTAGCTCTCACATGGTTCTTTATCCACTTTGAACTTTGGTAAGCCAACAACCATCTCCTTTGACTGCATAATTTTCAGTTTGAGTATCATGTATGTCCAAGCCTTTTGTGTTATAACTCATCAACTTCATGTTTGGCTACCACTGCAGTTTCTTCATTTGAAAGCCAATTGATATGAAAGCACGTGTTCACCAATTGTACTTCACCTATCTTTCTCCCAACATGATCATGTTGAATACTTGGGAGATTCTTACCAAGCTTAGGAACAAAAAACATCTCGTATGGTTTTCTTTCCCTTGTTGGTCATAACTTGAATGTTTCATTTTCCTTTAGTCATGAACACAACTTCATTTTTAACCCGTATTGGAACCTAGATGTTTGTGTAGATTTTGGTGAATATTTTCACATTATGTGTCATGTGGTTTGTACAGCCACGGTCAATGAGCCATATACTTTATTCACTTGATTCTTGGTCTTCTCGTCTTGTAGTAAACATGTGATTATCTTCCTTTTCATCTCTTTCATTCTTCCGGTAGCACACTTCTTCATTGTAGTTGTCTTTCTTGTAAAATCCATACCACTTGTGTCCTTATCCTTTGTAACTTATCCGTATGTTTCTCTTCTTCTCTTTTTACTGTCTTTTTTTATCACCCTCTTGTTCATTTTGGTTCCCTGAACTATAGCCTTGATTTCCCTTACATCGGTCTTTCTCTTTGTCAGTAGTGAACTTTCTTGGTTCGCACCTTCTGTCTTGTTCAAATCGGCTCCACAAATCATGTGGAGCTCTGATGATACCATGTTGATCATATAACTAGGGAGTCATCGGTTTGGTTCCACTTGCTCTGCATCTCTCTGTTTTGATTGTTAATAGAATAACTATTTGCAAAAACGATTTAGAGCATTTGAAAGAAAGATGAGATATGAAAATAGTCTATTCTTTTCATACCCTTAACACAATATTACACAAACACACTTCTCTCTAACTACTACATAACTACTTCCACTAGGCTTACTTAACTCTTAAGTTATAGCCTAGTTTAACAAGCAACCTAAAAACAACTTAATCATATATTCAACAACTTCATTCAACAACAAGGTTGCGTGGACTATCTTGGTTTTGTTACTCATGCAATGCATTATCAGGTTGTCTACGGGTGATCGTGCGGCTGCTTGGGACATGGAATATCTTCTTAATTAGTACTTTCTCGAGAACCAATGGAAACGCGTAATCATCATTTTTTTTTTTACATGTCAGTTTTCAGCTCATGAGAGGACTTCAATTCCAAAGCTCAGTTATAATTTCAAACTTTAGATTAAAGAATGTACAAATATTTTTTTACTGAACACAATTTTACTTTAAGATAAAATAAAACGGGTATATATATAACCAATCTTAACTCACGATCGAATAATAGAGTTATGATACCTTTTATTTGATACAAACTCCATTGCCCAATCGTAACGTTTTACGATTCCATCTACACATCTATATGAACACACACACGACATAAAACATGATAAATAATTATGACCAAACACATATATAATAATGTAGGTTACCTCTTCACGTTGTTATATTTTTTAAAAAATAATAACGTAGGTTGTGTATCTCTACACGTTGTCATTCCAGAAGGTGTCGTTGACTTTTTACTTTTTTGTTTTTTCCTCATATTTTCCAATTTTCGAATCCGATCACAACTTTTGTGAAAACTTTTCTTTCCAATTTTGTTTCCATGGCGCAGCAGAACCAACGTCCAATCTCAAACCGTTCCATCTCTCTCCTTAACCGCAACGGTCTCCTCCTCCTTCTCCTTCTAGCTCTCTTCGTTATCCTAGGTGTGTTCCTACCCTTAACAGGATCTTCCTTATTCCTGTCTCCAGACACAACATCTTCTTCTCTTTCTCCTTCTTCTTCTTTATCGGTCTCCGACTGGAGCGACTATTCCCTTGCTCAAGCCGTTAAGTTTGTGGCTAAGAACGAGACTGTGATCGTTTGTGCTGTTAGCTACCCTTTCTTGCCTTTTCTCAACAACTGGTTAATTAGCATTTCTAGACAGAACCATCAAGAAAAGGTTCTTGTGATCGCTGAAGATTACGCTACTTTGTACAAAGTCAACGAAAAGTGGCCTGGTCATGCCGTCCTCATTCCTCCAGCGTTGGATCCTCAAGCCGCACACAAATTTGGTTCCCAGGTAAAGAGAGACTTTTCACCTTTTCGTATCCAACGTCTGTCCCTAGCTTGATATAATAATATCCTTAACTTTAAGTTCATAAAATCTATATTCTAAACTCGGGTTATTATGTATTTGTCTTTTATATTGTTGTTTGTTTGTAGATTTTGGTTTTCTATTTTCTTTGTTGAGTCTCCGTGTTCTGTAAAAATTCGAAAATTGGTATAAATCTTCACATGTTTACAAATTTTTTTTTTTTTTTTTGTTAGAATATTTATTTTCCTACTTTGCATAGATCTTGGATTTTGTTTTATTAGCTAGTGTTATTTAACAGATTACTTGGATCATAAGTTTTTGAAATGATTTTGCCTCCTCTGTTTTACGGTATAGCGGCTTAGAAACTCTCCTTTATGTCTTGCAGTAGTTATGACTTTTACCACAATGATGCAACTAATAAATCAAATTAATGCATGTTGGGGAAGAAGTTTGATATAAATGTATCGTCATGCTAGTAGTATATTTTCTTTCTAAGAGGTGGAATAAAATAATATGGTTGAAGGGTACTGATAACACGTATGTAATGCATTGTACTAAGTCCCATTCTTCTAATTTCTCTTCAATTTTTTCCGAAGAGTCGATGACTGGTCATAACTATTATATTGACACCAATGTGATATTCTATGCAAATAATATGTATAATAGAATGCGACTAATCAGATATTTTTAATAATTTATTATATTCGATAGGGTTTCTTCAATCTGACATCTCGGAGGCCACAACATCTCTTGAACATTTTGGAGCTAGGTTACAATGTTATGTACAATGATGTTGATATGGTCTGGCTACAAGATCCGTTTCAATATTTACAGGGAAGCCACGACGCATACTTCATGGATGACATGATTGCGGTACGTAACATATCTGCATCTTTTGCATTTTTATTAGAGTGTTTATGTATCTTTATTCTTTGTTTGATTTTGGTTATGCCAGATTAAGCCTTTGAATCACTCCCATGGTCTACCACCTCGGAGTCGAAGCGGAGTGACTTATGTATGTAGCTGCATGATTTTCTTGCGTTCCACGGATGGCGCAAAGCTTCTAATGAAGACATGGGTTGAGGAAATTCAAGCTCAACCTTGGAATAACACCCAAGCAAAGAAACCACATGATCAGCCTGCTTTTAATCGGGCACTTCACAAAACAGCTAATCAGGTATGTAATGTTGCTTCCTCCCAATTCCACATTTGCTTTCTCTAAATTTTCACAAGCTTGTTTTACCCAATCGTTGGGTAAAATGATATTAAGATTTACAATCCCAATAGAGTATGTTTTAATTCCACATCGAAAATTAGAAAGGACCCAAAATAATAAATAAGATACATGAACCAATATATTTATTACCAATTGCTCTTGAATTAGAAGTTCATGAAATTTAATATGGTATCAGAATCTAGTTTACTCAAACTGGCTGGATTTAGTAAGATTTTTGATTGGTTTAAAATGTGATTCGGTTCAAGATCGAATGATAAAAGTTATCATCTCGATGGAAAGTATTAGGATCATACATTGGAAGTTGGACAAAAAAATTTGGTACTTTGATATTCTAACTTTAGCTACTCATAGTTCATCTTGTCTACTTATGAATGTTCGATTACAACTTTTGTTTCACTCACAAGGGTTATTTTCAGAATATAGTTTGTCAACTCAACTCGGCTGGTCTAAGTAAAAATTATTGTTGGTTCTTAAAATATGATTCAGTTTAAGATATATAGGCCGATACAAAAGCCATTATCTCGATGGAACATATAGGATCACGGAAGTTAGACTAAACTTTTTTTGTTACTTTATTCATTCTACTAATAACTCCTCTAATCTAAATATAAATGTTTGATTTTGATTTTGTTTGATTGAAAAAAGTCGAGAGTTTCAAAGGTTATGTTCACTTGTTCGAATTCATTCTCAACTTTTTTGTGATCTTCTATTAAGCAGGTAGATGTCTACTTGCTTCCGCAATCAGCTTTCCCATCAGGAGGATTGTACTTCAAGAATGAGACATGGGTTAATGAGACAAAGGGGAAACATGTCATAGTCCATAATAACTACATTATCGGTTACGAACGGAAGATGAAACGCTTTCAAGACTTTAATCTATGGCTAGTAGATGACCATGCTCTCGAGTCTCCACTGGGAATATTAAAGTAAAAATTTGAATGCAACAAAAAAATTCCCTCTCTCTTTTTGCTGTTATCTTGAGGCTAACATCAATATGAATTCTTTGCCATTTTTCGCCTCTCAGGATATATCAAGAGCAGAATACTACTACTGAAGGGAAAAATCAGACGAAAACAGTGAGAAAACAGAGGAAAAACAGGGGTAAGAAACATTAGTTACCCTAGAGAGGACTTCTTCTTATGTACAACAAGTATAGTATCTCGAAATTGTTGCCCAGAGATTTATTCAAACTCGATTACTTAGATTTATGTTCAAAGTCAGCACTATTTCACAACATAATAATATGATATTTATACATCAATATATTCATCAACACTATTTCAGTATGTCTTAGAACCGATTCTCAAATGAGAAACCCTTTCTCTCATCGAAACATGAACACTTGGCTTCTATAGTTGCTTCAACCTTTTTTGGATAAATCAATTATCCCATAGTTTAGAATATTAATTAAAGTAGTGTATAATTTGTTTTTTTTTTAATAAATCATAAAATAAAATAACCTATATATCAAGCACCATTGTGTATAATTTTAAATTATATTAATACTAATTTATTAAATTAATATTGTTTTAGTTCATAAAATAATATAATATTTTAAAAATAAATATTGTTATTTGAAAAATTAAAAATATATATTTTGATGATTTTTGTCAACATTTTGTTAAAATCTTGTCTAGTTAAACTTTTTTTCCCCCTATTTTTCTTAAGTTTACTCTATGCACCTTTGCTTAATTGTGTTATTTAAGAAAGTACAACTCTGTGATTGTGTTATTTACAATTGTTATTAATATTAAGATTACTAATTTTGAATATATTTAACATGTAATTTGATTTTTGTTTAAAAAATATTAATGAAAATTTAACATAAAAATTTTAAATTAATTAATATAAAAATATTCTATTGATCTTTATTTATTTGCTAAAAAAATAGAAACATGTTATTAATATATTTATGAGATACCCAATAGAAATCTCACCGGTGGAGGTTGTATTTGATAATGAAGTTTTCAACTTAAATTAAAAGAGATATAATTAAAATTTTGGTAAGATATTGTCTTCGCGACAAATAATAGGAAACTTTTTGGTGACAAAAAAAAAAAGGAAACTATGAGTCTAAATGGTAACATCAAAAAAATATTAAGCTGAATTTAGCCAGATTCAGCAATTATACAGTGACCATTTAGAAATGATAAAATTCAGTCAAGTTCAGCTCAAAATCACTAAATATTCAGCGAGAATCAGTAATTCAGCCGAAATCAGCCAGATTCTTCGATTACCATTTAGACCCTATAGAACCTAAGATATAGTTGAACACGCTTATATATCTCTTACTACGTTACCATAAATCTTCAAGTTTTTATTCTCTCTCAATTTACGAGTTCTTGTGAATCTCTTAAGAAGATTTTTGAGAAACCTTTGTCAAACATGAATGATCCCATTCCCAAAGTGGGAGTTCAGGTCCAAGAGAGAAGTCTCTCTCCATCAGAAGGATATACAAACTCAATCCTCCTCATCATCAATACCATAAAAGATGAGATCCTTGTAAACCCTGCCACCGGCCATCGAACCGTAACGTCAATTCCGCTTTCCTATCAATCACTTCCCATCAATTTCAGTCTCCCTAGTTGTAGTCACCACCACATCCAATCGTTACTCCAGGATCGACTCTATAGTGACGACCATTGGTTGTGCGAATACTTAGTCCCAAAGATCTCAACGGCTGCAATCAACTCAGGTTTTGGGTACAATGGCGTTGAATTGACCGTGAGCGTCACAGTTAGTTACCGGTACTTTCATGTCGACGAGAGATCATTAAAGATATCGAGGATGGTTCTACAAGGGAGCATTAAAGGAAACAGAGTCCTGTTCAATTTGTCTCCAGAGTCTAGTCTCCAGTTCGAAAACAGTACCCACTCGCATGAGTTGTTCACATGTCTTCCATAATGGATGTCTCGTAGAGTGGCTATACCGCAAAAACACTTGCCCAATGTGTCGGACTGTGCTCTATGATCGATGATTATTGGAACAGAGGATTGAAATTAGGTTTCATCTATTGAGATAGCATTACTTGGGTCACATTTTAAAAAAAGTTTATGTAATTTAGTTATCAAGGTTTCAAATAGAAATTGGAAATTTTAAATTTGTGTTTTTTGGGTTTTAAATCAAATTCAAGAAGAGGTTTGAAGTTGGTAATAGCATCTTTACTTGTAATCACATAAACTCTAAACTTTGCTGGTATAAATCGAATACTCAGATATATGTTCAAAGAGTCTCATCATAATAATATGATATTTATACATAGATACATTCATCAATCTTCAGCACTGTTTCATTATTAACTTTTATGTACGGGTATGTTCAATACGAATATTCTAATTAACATAAGATTTTCATACCAATCAAAAACTTTATTATGAATTTAGAATTGATTATATTGTATAAAATTACTTTTTAGAAAAGAAGATGAACATTTTAATTTCAAGTGATTTATATCTTGTAATATTTAGGAATAAAGATAACGTTTCTCATGTTTTTTTTTTTTCCTATTGGCGGGGTTCAAAATCATTGAATTCTAATTCTATTCACCGTAAATTCTCTAATTCTTAAACACTGTCTGTTTCTTTTACTTCACCACATATAAAAGAGAAAGAAAATTAAAGTATCGGTTTCTTTGAGAAAGACCAATGTCCTTCAAAGATAAAAGTTTGTACCTGTGACGTATAACAAAGCAATACAATAATATTGATGCCAAATCTCTTTCTCTTGCTTCTTCAGCTTTTCTCCTAAACCAAACAAAGTTAATCTTGAGAAAGAAAAATTGATAATCAAGAAAACAAGTAAGCAGTTTTTATACCTTGTGGCATCAATGTTACACCAACTGATCATAAACAACTACTAAATGTCGTGTGGATTCCAATAACCATAAATAATTTTTTGATCTTTTGGATATGCTAAACTTTGACAAAGACTCGCGCTCTGCTCTAGCAGCTACTAACTTCATCTCTAAACTTGAAAATAGATTTATCCAAGATCCTGCAATCGAATTGACATATAAAGTTTTCGAATTGACATAGAGAAAGAAACAAGATGGGTGCGGATCACGTACCTCAAGGCTTAATACAATAGCAAGCATTTAGAGGCAACTCTTAGTCTTCTTCTTCACTTGTCTCTGTTAGTGATAATTGAGTTTAGTCATATGTTATTCTATATAACACATTATTAAGTGTGTTGTAAAGTCAACCGGTATGTGTTAACCGTGACTTTCTTACGAAAGGGTGTGTGTGTAAGAGTTGTGACTTGTGGTTAAGACACAAGTGTTACGAACGGTTAGTACCGTAAGACATCTATATAAGTGTATGTGTGTTATTCTAAAACGTTGTCGAGTAAATAAAACAAGTTTCAGATTCAATAAAGAGTTCTTTCGTTTACTTTTCTTCTTTAAAAGAGAAGAGATAACTTCTTATCTCTTACTCTGTTTCTTCATCCTCTCTAATAATCCAACAGTCTCTACAGAATATCTAATGCATGGAGGATATCACAAACTCACCACTGCTGAATCCTAAGCATGTTTCGACTTTCGATGGAGTTGGCTTTCTTTTGCTCCGAAGTTCCAATAATGCAATACGGAAACTTTTTAAACACAGATTAGGACTCATTTTTCTCTTAAAACATCGTTTTTGAATTTCCCTCTTTAGAATTGTAGTCGTCTTCCTCAGGCGCTTCCTTGATACGGATTCGTAGTCACCGTCATCGATGGTATCCTCATCTTTTTATTTGGAGGCTTCATCGTCTTCTTTGTCAGATGCTGTGCACGATTCAGATTTGGATCTCCTGCTAGCCATACTATCATCGTCGTCTTGGTTTTTGTCTGACGATTCATCGGATTCATGTGTATTCCAGAGATCATTGGTTTTTCCGTCTGTTTTTTCCTTCAAGAGCTGGACACCACATTCAATAATGTCGAAATCATGGAAACATGCTGAATTCGAACCTATTGTAGACTTTGAGAAATAAAAGATTGCACATTCTTTCAAAAGCCCTTTGGCTTATCATCAATTCGTCGATGTCTGCTACGTCATAAAAAAAACCATTGTTACATCAAGTGCATCGTTTTTAAAACTTTTAATCTTTTAAAGCTTACAACCTTAAGCCGAGTGATATGTCTATAATTTTCATGTTTTACACATCCATTTATCACCATTTTGAGTCTAGTTTCATTCATCTTTCATAGCATTCATCATCATTTTGTACATTTTGCATGTTTAGGTGTGTCTAGCATTAGTCTTGCATGCATTTTGTATTATGGAGTTGCTTCAGGTACTTTGGAGCTATTGGTGTTTAGAAAGAGGAAAAACAGAGCGGAAAGTCACATTTTGACCAATCTACTCGATCACCAGTAGCAGAGAGGGAAGCAGTCAGCTCAGCAGGCCATTCAGACAGATCTACTCGATCGCAGAGGAGAAAGAGCAGTCCATCCTGGCAGTTCTACTCGATCGTAGAGAAGAGGAGGTAGTCCATCCTGACAGTTTACAGTTCTACTCGATCGTAGAGAAAAGGAGGCAGTCCATCCTGACAGTTTACCCACATACTCGATCACAGGAGAGAAGAAGCAGCCCAGATCATGCCATCAACCAACCTACTCGATCGCCACCTCGACCCTCTGATCAATCTGCACTCAACCAGACAACTTGAGCATAGGAAAAAGAAGAGGAGAGAAGGAACCACTCGATCGCGGCTTCGATTCACGCTCGACCATGAAGCCCACTTTGAGCCCACATACTCGATTACATCGTCCATGGGCCTGTTAAGTGGACTCGAAGCCCACTTTCTTATCTTTGTCGTTTTTGTTATAAATAAGTCTTTAAGGGTTTCCCCTAAGACAGAGACCAGAACCGAATTCTCGATATACTCTTGTTTTATAGTAGCCACTTTTACTTCTGTAACTTTGTATTTCGATTCTTCTAAGTCATTGAGATTTTGCTTTCATTTTCTTGTTCATTTCTGTTTCATTTTCTTTTAATCTTTCAAGTTATGCAATCATCAATCGTTTCTATGTCTTTGAGCATGTTGTCTGAGTAGTATCTAGGATTTCTGAGGATGGGATAGAGTAGTTGTGAGACGACCCCTTGTCGATTCTGATGGTTAAGTGTAGATTTATTGAATCCCTTCTGGATTAGTTGTGTTTACTGCTTATTCCTTTCTGATCAACTGGAATCCAATCCCAGACATTCTAGCGCTCATGAGGTGTTTAATGGAATGTTGGACCTACTAATTCCAGTGATAATCGTCTCTATCCCAAGGGATTGGCCGTTTAGAGC